ACACACACACACACACGCTTTATAGGTCAGGCATCAGAGAACATTAAATGAGATAGTAATACAGTAAGTAAGCGAATTAGGTTTTTCTGTTGGTTGTTTGTTTTAAAGATGCTTCGTCAGGGCGTGCAGTAGTGCAGTGTGGGAAGCTACAGGACTGTATAACTGTAAACAAGGCTTAAAGCAGACTTTCACAGGGTTTGAAGGTTATTGTCATTGCCCATTGGTTCATACTGAAGATGTAATCTTAAAAGCCGCCTCACAAATATGCGTATCTCATTAGGTTTTTATCAACCGTCACTCAACAGGGGAAATAGTGCATTTCTTAGGGGATTAGGATTGTGGCAGTACAGAGTAAACAGCAGGTGTGTGTTTATGGTAAGAACCCCAGTGCAACAGTGTGGGCTCTTGGTGGACAACATGTGGACAACAATGGGTCCTTAAGGCTTTAAATACACAAGACAGTATTTGTTAGTAATGGTAAATGGTAAATGGACCTGTACTTGTATAGCGCCTTTCTAGTCTTCTGACCACTCAAAGCACTTTTACACTACATGCCACATTCACCCTTTCACACACATTCACTCAGTGATGGCATTGAACGGAAACTAACACATTCATAGCAATGCAGATACTTAGTTTTCATACACATTCACACATTCACACGCCGATGCCCAGCATCGGGAGCAATTTGGGGTTCAGTATGTTGCTCAAGGATACTTCGACGTGTGGTGGGAGGAGCCGGGAATTGAGCCAACAACCTTCCGATTAGTGGACGACCCGCTCTTCCTCTGAGCAACAACCGCCCCTTAGTAGGGTACATTCATCAATCCCACATACAAGTGTAGTCATTTCAGTTATAAAGACAGTTATTACCCAGAATGAACATTCATTCACATTGCTGGAACCAAAATGTTTGTGACTCCAGGCATACACCACAAACTCAAAACCTTCGGAATATTTGAAGAATATTCTGTACAAGAATATTGAAGATTTTCATTTCTTCTTTTGGTATGAAAATGCACGCTAGGCTTGCAGCAACTTTAGCGAAATAACAAATTATAACCGGTCAGCACATATAATCACCTTCTCTATATCCAAAAATGAGGACTGTATGAAGGTTCATGTAACTGGAAATGTATTTACTTATTTGAAGGTACCAACAAATGTTTCCAACAATGTTCAAACTCAGAGAAATCCAAATTAAATTCACAGGTGGGCGTTATTTTATATAAGTATATAAGTATACATTTAAAAAACCTAAACTATTAACTCTTACCCAGTTTGAAGCCACATTTATACCGTCCATGTCTGGGTCTTAAGTTATGAGAGAAACAAGCTGAGCTAACATTAACAGTGGAACAACCTCAGAATTGATCTTCAGAGCGTTTTTGATCAGAGAACTATTTAAAGAGCAAGTTTTTTTTTTTTATAAAAGATTTATATATTAGTACGGATATTGACACATTTTACTTGGATTATTTTTGTAAAAAGTACATTATATGTGCCGGAAACATATGTCAACCCAACCCTCAATTACTTACTACTATTCTGAACTTTAACAATGGGACCTAATCAATAAATGTCTCCAACTTTACCACAAAAGCACTGTCCTCTCTTTCTAGGGTATTTTTAGGAGTATTATCTATAAATAAAAACAGATTCTTTTTCTCAGAAAATGCAGAGGAGGAAGGGAATTTCTTAAACCCAGATTACTGTCGGCAGGCCTTCCTTTCAGGCTGCATACACCCCAAAATCCTCCACCAGCAAGCTAGTCTTGCGTGTATATTACCTGACATGCGAAACACGGCAAAAAATTCCACAATGACTCACTATTGCTCTTGAAGCTTAAGTGCTGTGAACGCTGTTGACCTCTGTGTCCTCCATACTAACTTATGGTTGTCTTACAGAATCAAACCAAACAGCGTTGAACAGCACTAACAACACCAACAGCACTAGGAACTGTTCCTGCAACAGCAGTTTAGTTCCAGTAAGCTGTCCTACCCCCACCACCGGATCCAACAGCCCTGCACCTGCCCTGCACCTCCTCAGAATCCAATGGAACAATAAGGTTAATTGTAAAGGAGTTGTTGAGCTGATCTCCTACAATGCCTCCAACTTCCAGCCCATCTGTTACGACAGTAAGATAAACGTCCAGGGGCTTTTTGAAGATGTGTGTAAGAACAAGAAAGGTTGTAAAGGCCCAGTGAGCTGGGAAAAAAGCACAGACTATGAGATTGGAACCACGGAGTCCAGCTGTAAGCCTCTCAGGGTGCAGTGCAAAGGTTGGTCCACTGTCTGTTCGTCTTTGTGTGTGTATGTGTGTGTGTGTAAATTAGCTAACTTCACGTCCTCTTGTAGTTTGACATTTTACTCTCAGCAGCGAACGTGATGCAGTGTTTAACGACAGGAGATGTGACAGGAGATGACACCCTGATATTGTCACAATGTGCAACACCACTCCTAATCCACCCACAGATTAAACACATACACACACATACAATTCTACAGCTTTTAAGATGCATCTGTGTTTAATATTGTCTCAATCTAAGGTCCATTGTGTAACATTTAGGATAATCTATTGGCAGAAATAGAATATAATATTAGGTAGGTATCAACCCTTGACAGTATACATATATAAAAGACAGAACTTCCAGGTCTGTGAAGTG